AGAAAGCTAAAAATGATGAAGAAGAAACTAAGGGTGCTGAATAGGAATTATTTCAGCAATATTATTGAAGAAGCTGATGCAAACAAAATGGCTTTGGCTGCAGCCCAAGCAGAACTTCATAAAAACCCATTGGATGTTGAGCTACAGTTAGTAGAAACTCAGAAGTTCCAAAAATTCAAGAGATCATCCTATTTGGCAGAGGTATACCTTCAATAAAGGAGCAAAGCTACTTGGATTAAGTTGGGAGATGATAATAATAGATATTTCTTCTCAGTAATAAAGCATAGAAAGCTGCAAGAAGCAATTATCCAACTTACTGATAAGTTTGGATGCATGAAAACTGATCAGGAAGAGATAGCAAGAATATTTGTGGAATATTATCAGGAGCTACTGGGGACAAAGGGAAGATTCAGGGATCATGCCATTCAGAGTTTTTTGAAGAATGGGAAAGTACTATCGATTACTCAACAACTACAGTTGGTAAGACCTTACACAGGGCCAGAAGTGAAAAAAGCAATGTTCAGTATAAATGATACTAAAAGTCCAGGTCCAGATGGGTATGAGAGTGGATTTTATAAAGCAGCTTGGTCAGTAATTGGAGAGGATGTGACCAAGGCAGTGCTGGAATTTCTTGAGAATGGGGAATTACTTACTCAGATAAATTCAACCAGTATATCTTTTATACCAAAAGTGAAGAGCCCCTTGCAGGCAAGTCAATTTAGACCTATTGCTTGTTGCAATGTTATCTACAAATGTATTCCTAAGATCATGTGTACTAGATTGAGGAAAGCCATTCCTATGATTGTAGCTGATATTCAAGTAACATTCATTGAAGGTAGATCACTTATACACAATGTGCTTATATGCCATGATCTTCTCAGACATTATAACAGGAAGACAACCCCAAGATGTTTGATGAAGATTGACTTAAAGAAAGCATATGACATGGTTAGATGGGAATTTCTGGAGGAAGTTCTTAGAGGCTATGGTTTTCCAATGCCATTTATCCAACTGATTCTGGTGTGTGTTACAACAACTACATTCACTGTCAAAGTGAATGGTGCAGGATATGGCTACTTTGAAGGAAAAAGGGGGTTGAGGCAGGGAGATCCTATGTCTCCACTACTGTTTGTGCTTGTCATGGAGTACCTAACTAGAGGATTGAACAAAATGAGTGAATTACCAGATTTTCAATTTCATCCCATGTGTAAGACCACCAAACTGACACACTTGATATTTGCTGATGATCTGATGTTATTTTGCAAAGGTAACAGTCAATCTATCCATAGGGTGCTGGAAGTAGTGAATCATTTCAGTGCAGTGTCAGGGCTGGTAGCTAATATGGAGAAATCAAACATATACTTAGCAGGAATGGATGAAGCAACAAAACTGACTATAGTGAGAGATACAGGATTCTCAGTGGGTACATTACCTATGAGATACTTGGGGCTTCCACTAACATCAAAGAAGTGGAGCAAAGTAGAGTGTCACCAGCTAGTAGAGAAGATCACAACAAACATTCAATCAGGTTATGCTAAGCTACTCTCATATGCAGGTAGATTGCAAGTGATCAATGCAGTGTTGTTTGCAATATACAACTTTTGGGGGGCTGTCTTTATACTCCCTCAAAGTGTTATAAGAGCAATTGATAGGAAGTGCATGGAGTATCTATGGGGCACTACAGAAGGACACAGGAAGATGGCATTGGTATCATGGGAGGTATTATGCAGGCCAAAGAAATATGGAGGACTGAACATTAAGGGATGTAAAAATTGGAATATAGCTTCTGTTGGAAAACTGTTATGGCAATTAGTGACAAAACAATGAGATTTTGTGGGTGAGATGGGTACATGGGGTGTATATGAAATCCTGTAGAAGCATTTGGGAGCATAACCCACCCTCTGACTGTAGTTGGTATTGGAAGAAGATAAACAGTATAAAGTATAATATGGCACAATGGTATAATGGAAGTACATATAGGCTGACAAGCAGTGGAGATTATTCGGTCTCTAGCAGTTACAATATAATGCTAGGACAAATGTCAAGGTGTAAGGAAATGGATTTGATATGGAGTAGGGTACTGCTACCAAGACACAAATTTGTATTGTGGCTGGCATACCAACGAAAAATGCAAACAAAAAGCAGATTAGTACAGCTGAACTTTCCTATCACAGGTGATGCTGAATGTTGCCTGTGTGACCTGGGAGTGATAGAGACTCAGCAGCATCTGTTTGGGGATTGTTGTTGGTTTAAAAACATGAGAGATGCTCTGACTAGCTGGGCAACAATCAGTCTTCTAAACATGGCAATACCAGAGATGATACAGTGGATTAAAAGAAGGCATTGGAAGCAACTAAGGAAGGAGCTTGCAACAGCAATTATAGGAGCAATTGTATACCACACTTGGCAAGCGAGGAACTGGAGAATTTTCAGACAAATTAGCCTGAACTTGGAGTTTTGTGTTGGGCAAATTAAGAAGGAGAAGGTGGACAGAATAGGCATGTTTGCAGAATCTAAAAGAGCAAAACAATGTCCACTGCTGATACAAAAACTATGTAGTTAGGAAGGTGCCTGTAGGTAGGATTCTTGTAGTTTATTAATTCTAAAGTCATGGAATTTTGTACTTAGAAGAGGTATTTTTTGTTTGAGGTCTTGATGTACTAGAAGAGCTAGTACACTTGATGTTCATAGGATGTAAAGCATTTGGTTGTTATGGTAATATTCACATTTATTACCAAAAAAATATAAAATTGTGCAAACTTTATGTGTCTCTGTATGTACTCGGCTATTTAAAAAAAAAATAATTTTTACACGTAAAAAATATTCTTAAATCACGTGTGGCTTTTATGATTATACGAAGTATATATATTAAGGATAAAATAAAAAATTTTAAAGTAAAATTTGTCGAAATTTGAATATGTTTTTTATCAACTAAAAGAAATTAGTGCAATATAAAATAGAACGATAAGAGAATTGGTCTCCAGTATCTACCAGATACTAGCTAGTAATATTTTCATTTGCTTAATGCTTTCCTTGTTTCCAAATATTGAACGTGTTAAGTTAATCAACAACTTTGGATATTATTCTTTCTTTGCATTTTTATCAAAAAATTGCGAAGCAAAGTAGAGTAGAGCAGCAAAACGACCGATTCTATCAAGGTGATAGCAGAATAACCAAATTATGGTTGAAAACTTGATAGAAATTAAGGGTCCATCAAACTATATAGATAACCAGGTTCTCTATTAATTTTTACAGAACGCACACACACGCAACAGTAAGTAAATGACACAACAGAGTTTTACGTAAAAAACTCTCAGCTCACGGGATTAAAAACCACTATCTACCCTCGTAGGATTTCAACTTTACTACTGAGCATACTTTAGATTACAACCTATTGTAACCTAGGAATTAACCTCTTAGTCCCTCACTAGTCCCTCACTAACTTGTAACAACTCTATTACAAGCCCCTTTGTAATAACTCTATTACAAAGCTTACAACTCGACTAACTCTAGCCAAGACACAAACACAAGGTTTATGATTTTACAAAAGATTTCCTACACAATGCTTCCGACTAAGCTAAGTAGGAATTATAGGTAAATCACTTTAACAAAGACGTAGCACAACTAAGGACATATAATGACTCAATACAGGTAACTGGTCCTTCGTTATGTTGTTCTTTGTTCTTGATGCTCTTGGAAGTTACTTGCCAGATTGACACTCACTTGAGAGAATGCTTGATGAATTCTAGGATGTGCATGTGTGATGTTTTGCCTTTTCTTCATGTTATTATTACATAAGTGATATCACTTGAATGATGCCAGTATGTTTGGTAAAAGGGCATTCCCATAAAGTGACTGTTGCACTGTCTGCACTGTTGCGTATGTGTAGAGAAACAGTTGCAGCGACTTTACGATCACGACCCAAACCGAAGGGTCACAACGGCCACCTTGTGCCTTACTCAACCGAGTACCAACATAACATATCTTTCTTATCATACTATCACTGGTAACTGGGCCAACATGGCCACAACTCGTAATGTATAACTATAAGTGGGAAAGCACTGTATCAATGAACCATCTTTCTTAAAACATGAATACATATGGGCCGTCAAGGCCTCTGACATACTGTACAAAATGAACCTCTGTCTACAAAGACTCTAAGAGTATTAGACATCAAATGGGACAAGGTACCGGCCTACCAATAAGTCTGTAGCAAAATTCTGAAACGATGACTCATAGACTCGGCTGCACTCCGAATGAGGTGGAGTCTTACCGATCCTTCGAATGCTAACCTCGTTTACTATGAGGGCTCGTCAAACTGATTGTTTATACCTGCAGGCGTGAATGCAGCGTCCTCAACAAAAGGACATCAGTACGAATAATGTACCGAGTATGTAAGACCCATAAATAAGTATATAAAAGACATGGAAGAAACATGGAGTAAATAACCCAACTTGTAAGTCTGGATAACTCTGTAAATCATGAAATACTTATAGTGTCATGCATATGCATATGAATGTCATGTCGTGAATAGGTACATGTGTTCATAACATCATCAAGCCTCCGAGGGCATCCCATCATATCATCTCGGCCATTGTAGGCAAAATCATCAACGTATACCAGCTGATCATGTGGTGGTGCGCATATAACGCCATAACCTTTTCACATATCTCATATTTCTACTATATTATTTATATATATAAGTGATGAAGATGGGACGAACACTGCAATAAATAACTGAACCAAAAGCAATGAAAATTGTACTCTACAGTTGGCATGTCCTTTATTTTTTTCATATACTCGGGCTTATATCATTGGCGGTTGCATTTTTTTTGCTCTTCTCCTGTAACCACGTGGATCTGTATTCCAAAATGCAGTCCATTAATTTTCCTCAAGTGACACGTGTTTAACTTTTTTAATTTCTGTAGGACATCTAGCTTCCCCTTCACTTCTACTTCCGGTTCTTCTTCTTCTTCTTCCTTCTTCAATGTATTCTTCTTTTAGCCTTTCTCACTGTTGAAGAAATTTATTTCTGTGTCTTTCTCTCTCACTTTACATCTTTTTATTTTTCTCTATTACTAATTCTTATATTTGATCTTTTAATCAGGACAATAAAGACTTCCTCTGCAAAAAGTTGTTGCATGCTATCTCTCCTAAATTAGTCAAGACTTCTGGATGGTTCTTGCTGAAGACCAAAGATGCTATGGTGATGCTCAACTATTTTCAGTTCACTAGATCTTCTTCCTTCATATTGTTTTCCTTTTGATCCGTTGTTGTTTGGAATTGTTTTTTTTCTTTTCCAATGCTGATTCATATTTTTGGCATCTTTTTATAAGTTTTCTCCATGTATCCACCCCTCTTCCCAAAAGCTTAAGTTTTTCTTCTATTTCCCTATCTGGGTGTTTTCGTATTTGTTTGGTTTTTGCTTTTTTATTTTGTTTCTTATGAGTTAGTGCTGAATTGATCTTATGTGTATATTTGTTGTGGTATCTAGGTATTTATTTCTATAAACCTCGCAAGAGATACTTTGTTGGGCATTGATAAAATAGATTCATCTTTATTAGATTTTGGATATAGAAATAGAGTTTCCCATTATGGGCATCATCAAAATCCAGCAAAGCTGAGAAGCAGTTTCCCGATCCGCACTTTGAATAATTGGAAAATATATTACATTTGTTAACAATGTTCTATTTTTTCCTAATTTGATTGTGAGAGTTAAAGTTTACTTTCTTGCAGTTCTCAAAAGATCTATATCAGTAGTAAAATGATTCTTTAGGAAGTATCCTAAAGACGCTTTACGCAGCATTTCAGGTCGGAAAACTCTATAAGCGTGTCATCAAGTTAGGTTAGGCCAACCTCCGAACTTGATGTGGTCGCCTTTCTGATCTAACACCACAGGCGATGGTCAGGGATGCTCGCGTAGTTTGTTACGTCAGCTCCAAAAGGATAAGTTGTTACGTCAGCTCCAAAAGGATAAGTCGCGCTGGAATTGATAAAATTCCATGGAGTTCATAATTGCATAAAAATAGTCAAAGCTTGTTACGTCAGCTCCAAAAGGATAAGTCGCGCTGGAATTGATAAAATTCCATGGAGTTCATAATTGCATAAAAATAGTCAAAGTAGTGGTTGCGGCGCGTTGAGGCACTTCTTCGACGGTCCCCGTACGCCCGGCAAGAAATATGTTTGAATTAGTAATCCTTATGATTGACAAGATCTGTTCGATTATTTGTAATAAGAGTTATATTGTGTCAATAAAAATAAACAATAAGCTAGCTTTTGAGGAACTAGAGCCTACAACAAAGATTAAGGTGATCATTTTCAAGGTTTTACCTGTTTGGTTTTGATATACTTCATGATATAAGTATATGGACATTTTTCTTAATTTTAAATTTTTTGGTATACATGTGCTGCATTTTTGTTCATTCCCACATTGTATCTTAGCTTTCTGCATCTAGGTATTGCAGCTTTTTAGTTGCTCTTTATCAAGTTGTGACCCTCTTTTGGAGTATATTCTCCAAAAAGAAAAAATGACAGAATTTAACTTCCCTATATATTTCCATATGCAGATCAAATTGGCAGTTCTATTGTCGTTCTTTGAAAATAGTGTTGATCAAGGAACTGTCTGTCTAAGTTATGCTGCAGCTTAGACAGTGTGGAGTATGAATTTCTGGTTCATCTATGGATGCCTTTCTAGAATTTATGTAGCAGTATATAGTTTGATGCCCAGACGCCACTTATGGGATTACACTGGGTTTGTTGTTTTTGTTAGTAAATAGTTTGATGGTCAAGCTAATATTTACCTATCGGCTGTTAATGATTGTTAGTCATATGGTCTTCCTCCAATTTGGTTTGTCAACTTTTAATTAATTCTACGCTACTACTGTTCCGAGAGCAAAATCAAGATGTGGATAGCTATAGGAGTAAGAAAAACTTAAGCCAAATGGAGGGAACTCTTTCACATCCCATGCCATATATTAAATTGTTCAGAGAAAGTGGGTTGGTCAGTGTTGTGTGTTTAACTTGCCAAAGTGCTTCATTCTTACAAAATTGTCAGGTGGATTCACATTGGAAAGATCTCTAATGGCTGTCAGCTTCACATTGGAAAGATTTCTAATGGTTGTCAGAGGTGAAGTCCTCTTTTACGTACTAGATATAGAATGTGTTAGGAGTCATTACAATGTATGTACCTATATATATCAGGGAGATGTCACAAGGAAATATTATGAGATGGATGCAAAATTGTAGTTTCGATGAATATAAATAAATAGATTTTTCTCACCTGACGCGTTGCGGTTTTACATATTCAAACCTCTTATGCACAGTTGCAGCTCATGGTATAGTTTGGCTTTTCACTAATTTTGCCGACTGAGACTTTCTTTTATTGTCACTCCTTAGTAACTATAGTACTCTCCATATAATGTGAATCATTTTTTTGTATTAGACTCATCCAAACAGAGAGATCGAGGATGCAGCTAAAAAGATATGTTCATGGTTAAAACTGTCTTGATGGTAGTTTTCATTGTAAGTTTTCTGTTTGACTGTATAAAAACTGGGGGAATTAATATGTCCTGTGGTATCTCTTTTTAGTGTTAAGAGATAATTTATAGGTCTAAAACTTTTAATAACTTTTTTGTCAACTGATGCAATTCATAGTAGAATGTGGGAGTATCTGAGTGTTCATTAACTTTTCTGATGGGTATAATGTTATTTCTTAACTAGAAAAAGAGATATCTCTGTCTATATTCATTTTCATAGACTAGAGTTACCTTTTGTGGTACTCATCTTAAAGCTCTATGTCAAATATAACTATCCACCCTGTCAGCTTTGAATCGATCTCATACAGTCTATGTAACACGAGTTCCTGCGATTGTTGGGCCCGTGCTCAAGCACGAGCATCCACTCTCTAGTACATATAATATACATATATACGCGTATATAACGCCATCTGGTCATAGGCCAATGTTCATGTATAAATGAATGCAATGCATGAGAAGTACGTCAATAAAATCTCTCGGAATGTGATAAGACCATTATGCCTTTGAGTAATGTCATGATTTATTTTTTCAATTTACGTATTTTTCTGAGACTCATGAACAGAAGATGTAATAATAAGGCACATGGGAATTCAAGAACATAGGCACCTCTAATATTTCTATGAATATGGTCATTTATGAAAGTTGTGCATTTGCTCATTTCGTTTGTGTCGTATAGATCATGCCAAAAGGAAAGAAGGGATAGCCTTAACAAACCTGGACCGATAGTCTTGACAATTCCTCTAACACATGTCTTTTGCGACGAACACATGTCTTTTGCGACGAAACACGTAACGGCAGATCGAGTAGGTAAAAATTCGTATGATATTCTTGAAAAAGATTGTACCGTGCTTTCTTAGAATTGCATCTTACGCATAATCGAATCTTATATGAATTTGCTGAAGCAATTTCACGTTGCCATCACTTGTAGGAGTTTGCTGGAGCACTTCACTTTGCTATGAAGATTGAGAAATGTATCTCTTTAATCTTTGAGATGTATTTTACCTTTGTGGGTGTGGGCACCACCAAGGTGATGAGTTAGCCACAAAAGATCCTCCAATTGCCACCTGTTTTAATGACTATGAGTCATTACTTGGGCTTTAACCCCGTGGTTTTCACATCAGGAGATTAATCAACCTTATCCAAATATGCTTAATTAATGTGATGAGCCGAACGACCGTTTTATGAGTTACCGTTTCGTTTTTCCCATTTATGCTTCTTTGCATGTTGTTCAGCTATATTTTATCGAATTGTGTGGGTTAGTTTGGGTTCGGAGTGGTTTTTGTAGAGGAATGAGACACTTAGTCTCTTAAGCTGGCCTTTAGTTGGAAAAGTCAATCGAAAGTTGACTTGTGGGTAAACGATTTTGGAATTTAGTTTTTATGATTCGGATAGCTTCGGCAGGTGATTTGGGACTTAGGAGGGTGATCGGAATGAGTTTTGGAGGTCCGGAGTAGATTTAGGCTTGAATTGGCGAAATTGGAATTTTGGCGTTTTCTGGTTGATAGGGGAGATTTTGATATAGGGGTCGGAATGGAATTCCGAAAGTTGGAGTAGGTCTGTGGTGTCATTTGTGACGTGTGTGCAAAATTTCAGGTCATTCGGACGAGGTTTGATAGACTCTTTGATCAAAAGCGGAATTCGGAAGTTTTTAGAGTTTTTAGGCTTGAATCCGTGGTTAATTTGATGTTTCGATTTGCTTACCATCTCACCTTCATGAATTTACTTATCACTTGTTTGAAATACCGTAATACTTATAATCCCAAAGTAATCTCATTCCCGAACTTATGTCGATTAACTTACGACGAACTTTAATGTACGAAAATGCGGGATGTAACATCTCATTTCCAAGCTTTCATCAATTTACTTATGGCGTACTTTCACGTACGAAAACATGGGGTGTAACATTTACAGCTGTGGAGGTTGACTGGTACAGTCAGCAAGGGAAGTGATGTCCATATGTTCCCTCTGTTGTTTCTTTGACTCTGAAATGTTGAGACATGTCCCTGACTTGAGACTTGTTGTTCTTGAGTGCTTGAGGATGTGGAACATACTCTTAATCTGGTTCTTGACATTAAGTTTGTTAGATCATCAAAACATAGCAGGGTGTATAACCTATCAAAACTCAACGATGATGATGCAAGAATCTTCCAGCCTCTTTTTTTTGTGCTCTATTGCAACCCCAATAATCTTCACAAATATTGGAGGGTTTTACCTCCTAATTATTATCATGCATTCTTTCCTTTATGCTTCTTTTGGCAATTATTGTCATAGTACCTGAGACATACTTTCATTGTCAATCCATTTTCATGAACAAAAAATTAAATCATTGTCGGTGTTCTCATCACCATCATAAATATGAATGTTATTTTTACTTTAATTAACAGCTGGTATGGTCCATTGAATATTTGACCACCTACCACAACTCATACTCATCTTCTCCACACATGAATGCCGTTAGGTGCTTATTTATTCACTGTGGTTATTGCTATGTTGCATAATCAATAATGTTATTCAGTACCCTTCCGTAGAACAACTGTAAATTAAATCACTCAAAATTAACCAACACATACCAGTATACAGCACTAATACCTATCATGATACACATTGAAACGAATCTACTGCTTTAATTTCAACTTGATTTATATATACATATGCAAAAAAGATTAAATACAAATATGATTAGACTCGTGCTAAATTCACTAACTTTAGATCCTAAATTCACTTGTTGTGAAGAATCATCAAAAACCAAGAAGTCGACCACCGATTTCATCAAGACCTTAGCTTTCTCGGAGGTTTGGTTATATAAATGGAAGACATGATCCTCCCCTTCTATCTCCTTAATCCCAATTTCACCTTTCCACCCACTTTTTTTAATCGTCTCATAATAAGTCCAAGCCCTATCTCTCAAGAAATCTTTACCTGCGGTACAAACTAAAACCTTGGAGCAATTCAACTTCGACAGCAACCTAGGATGAGCTGCTGGATTGAATCTCGGATCATAAATCCCAGTGGTTTTTGGGCATAAATAAGTCCAAAGTGTATCGGGCTTATCATTACCGAAATAGGGATCAATTAGTGCCATTCCAACTAGGGAAGGGGAAAAATGACTTTCCTCACTTGCACGAACCATCATGTTATGAGCAATATTAGCTCCGGCGCTATCACCAACCAAATAAACTCGTGAAAAATCAGCACGTTCTTTGAGCCATGGATCTGTCCCTTGCTCAACCCATTTCATTACAGCCCAAGAATCATCATAACAAATTGGGATTGAGTACTCTGGTGCTAATCTGTAATCAATGGATACAGCAACTGCATTACTCTCAGCGGTTAGTTTGTGAAGGTAACTATCATACATGGGAGAAGAAGCTGACCCAGTACAGAATCCGCCCCCGTGGATGTATACAAGCAGAGGAAATTTCTGGTTTTTTCCACTGATTTTAGGAAGGTAAAGACGCGCTGATACATTTTGTTCTGGCAAAATGGTTACATCTTTCGATTGGACCCCTGTGTTGGGACTGAATGATGGAGGGACAAACTTGGCCTCTTGATATCTGTGAATAGTTCCATCAGTATCAACCTTAAAAAAGGGATAGAAGTTGTGAGCTTTCCCCGCAAGGGTCGAATTGATATATAGGCAAATAATCAGAAATGATAAAGGAAAACGAAGATGAGTGAAATTTTGTGCCATTGTGTTATTAAAGGAGACGAGTGAACGGGCCATCCAATTGCAGTAGATTTTATTGAACTTGTTTATGACCCAAATGAGGACCAATATTAAATAGTGTGTGTGTGTGTGATGGAATAATGGCGTGGCAGATTTGGTACCGCATATCATTTAAGGAAAAAATAAATGAAATATCTAAATTAAAGAGTTTTTAAATATTATAACTAATTCTTTTTAAAAACATGTCATATAAACTAGAATGGCTATTGATAAAGGTTCCCAGTTGTTGTGTGAGGCAAGGAAGTTGCAGGTCGCCACTAGCCTACCTTCTGCGTTAATTTCCTCTTTTCTACGTGTCCGAAACTTTTCTAATGCTTTTTTGGGCACAAAACACGTTTTTACTATTAAAAAAAAAAAAGTTACATAAATACCTAAAACGCAGTATAGTACTGCGTATTATTAAAAAATTATTTTTTTAAGGAATTCGCTGTACAATACTACGAATTACTTAAACGCAGTATAGTACTGCGTTTCACTTATTAATTTGGCCCCACCAATAATTAACTGACATAACAATAATTCAAATACATAAAACGTGGTATTGTACTGCGTTTTACATAAAAAAATTCTGCACCCCAAGCTCGGACTTGCCTTATTTAAAGGCGTTTCA